GGCTTTACCTGGTCCAACTGGACAATTGGACCATCAGGTTTGGTGGAACTGGACAGAAAGGTGAACCAGGAGATGAAGGAGAAGATGGATTCCCAGGTATAAATCGGTCGTTGTTACATTTTACATTTATCTTGTAAAAATTCATAAAATTTAGATAATTAGTTTTAAAATTAACAAATTGCATAACATTGTGATTTATTGTTCTCAGGTCCACCAGGTTTGCCAGGACCACCTGGAAATGAAGGAAGATCTGGTTCACCAGGCTTGAAAGGAGAACCTGGACCAACAGGATTACCAGGTCGTGCCACACCTGGCCCGCCTGGGCAACCTGGCCAACCTGTAAGTCCCAACTTATTCTCTATTAGTAACATGTAGATGGTCTTTAACAGTTATATATCCAAAAATGTATAAATTGTGGGAGGATGTTTTCTCTGACCAGACTTCTTAGATAGTTTTGATTTTAGATGTTGAGAAAATTATTGTAACCTCATTATTTCATTGACAAAACATTGTTAAAATTCTGCATTGAAAGCACAAGCATCTCATGTTATTTTGTGTTTACACTAGATTGATGCAGGTAATGAAATGATAATGGCATTTTCAAAGTTCAATTTTAAGTTTTTGTTCTGGCTCACAGTTTTACCTAGCTGAGTGCTTCATTGTTCTTTTCCTAAATTATGAAAAGTTATTGTCATAGGCTATGACTAATATCTAGAATTAACATTCCCAAGTGGCCATTTTTTGCCAAAGCTGATAACAGCCATTTCAAATCTGTAATTCTTGATATCAGGCCAGGCAAATAACTGTACATTATTCAACAGTCCCTTTATATGTTGTATCAAAACATCATTTGTGAATATATATAATCCAGGGTTCACTTGGACCTATTGGTATGAAAGGTATGGCTGGTGAACCTGGATTCCCTGGACCAGCTGGTTTTCCAGGACGTGATGGTGGTCCCGGTGATGATGGTCCACCAGGACTCGTAGGACCTCCAGGACCAAGAGGCTTTGATGGCTTAAATGGACAGAAGGGAGAACCAGGTAAGAATTCTATATTGGATAATGAAAACATATTTTCCACCATTCTTAGATGCTATTGCTATTTTGACAGCAAATTCAACACTAAATTCATAAAATAAAAGTCGTTAAACAGATAAATAAAAAAATTATTGAATGTATGAACAACTTCTCTTATTTACTTGTAGGTCCTCTACCAGATATGAGTACAATGAAGGGAACCAAGGGTGAACCAGGCTTACCAGGTCGACAAGGATCTCCTGGTGAAATCGGTCCAGCTGGACCTCCAGGCATTCGTGGATTTCCAGGAGAAAAAGGAAATTTAGGACCTAGGGGTGGTCAAGGTTTCAATGGTCTTCCTGGTGACCCTGGACCAAAGGGAAATCAAGGTAGGTCAATCTGTTATATTGCAGGAGTTTTTCTAGAAAAAAACTGCAAGAGGGAGCACTGCTATTCAGCGGCGCCACCAAGTGGGGGAGATAGAGTTCTCCCTACCAGGGTGTGGAGTTTTTGATAATTCGAAGTTAAAATGGAGCATTCTATGGCTTTCTTGGGGCCAAAATTACTATCAAGCAGCTAGGTCACAGTTGAAGCATTTCTGCCATTCCTGAGCCAGATCTTGTATGGACGAATTTTGTGCAAACTTAGTACAAACTTCAGACATTATTGGACTTTGATGCATGTCATTTTGTTTCTCATATCTGATTCAAAATGGTCGACTTCCCATTTTGTTTTAAGAAATGCTATCCTAAGGCCATATCTCTTGAGATGCCTTGACTGATTATGTTCAAATTTTATATATGCATCATACTGAGTACATCGTGTCACACATGTGCACATGCATTCATTGGACAATTCAATTCAAGACAGGTGGATGGAAGCTTTATTATCTCACATGGATCATGGAATGCAATTACTTGACTATAATTACATTTAATGCTTGTGCTGGTCAATTGATATCAAACTGAGGACAATAATAACAGTTAAATGCACAGATGATAATGGTTACTTCAGATCCCTAAAAACATTATTTTTATGTTCTTAAGTCCTTGAAAATGTCTGAGATTTTTGTTTGTCTTAAAATTGTATGGACTTTTTCAGCACAAAGATTGATTTTCTGAGCATAGACAGTCTTTTCTAAAATATGATCTTGAAAATGCTTAAAATTTCAAAGGCTGAAATTTTTGAACCTTGCAACAATAAAACAATTTTATAGTGAATACTCTGCAAATGACAATATATATGTGTATCTGTTTACAGGATTCCAAGGTCCTGTAGGTCCTCCTGGTATACCAGGTAATGATGGTCCACCTGGATCACCAGGTGTCGGTGGCAGTGCAGCTGGCTTCTTTATTACCCGCCACAGTCAAACAGTACAAATACCTCAGTGTCCAAGAAACACAGTAAGAATGTGGGAAGGATATAGTTTACTCTACGTTCAAGGAAATGAAAGATCACATGGACAGGATCTTGGTAAGACAGTTGAAGGCATTATTCTCATCTACATGTATTGTGACTTATTCCATGCACAGTCGTACTTTATACAGTTACATCATTGTTTTGGTAAATCAATGTAGTGCAATGCTCAGGATAGAGCTACGTCAAAGAACGTTGTTTGCTTGGACATGCACCACTGACAATGTATTTCAATGGGCTATGTGCAAGCTGCTGTGGAACACTGGTCGAGAACAAACACAGACTCAAATTTGAAGTAATCCTGAGAAAACAAATGTATATATGTTGCACATGTATAGGGTTAATCTTGTTACACTTTTCAGGAGAGTCTCAATAACCATCCCAAAGTACATTTTTCTGGGAGTTTTTGGCTTTTGTCTTCACTGGTGATGGTTGCCATGCGGTGAATATTGCCTGGATGTCCGCCCCTAAGAATAGGAATAATTGTTTTTCTGTTACATGTACAGTTTCAGCCACCTAAGATGCATAACTGTAGTCTTTAATGGATTCATTGTTGTGGTAGCCATAACTCTGTTGCTTATCTACAAATTCTAGCATAGGTTAACTGTGACAGTGAGTCAGATTTTGATGAGTCAGCATTTCAGATGTGTTTTGTGTAATCCAATATTCTTTAAAACTTTGTTCTATTCTTTGCAGGCACCGCTGGTAGTTGTCTACGTAGATTCAGTACTATGCCGTTTATGTTCTGTAATATCAATAATGTATGTAATGTAGCAAACAGAAATGATTATTCCTATTGGTTGTCTTCTCCGGAACCCATGCCTATGGATATGGCTCCGATACAGGCGTCAAACATTCAACCATTCATTGGTCGCTGCTCTGTCTGTGAAGCACCAAATCAAGTAATAGCAGTCCACAGTCAAACTATTAATGTTCCAGATTGTCCCTCAGGATGGTCTGGACTCTGGATAGGTTATAGCTTTGTAATGGTGAGTAAATTTGTTTTACATTTTTGTTGAAATTTTTATTTATTTTGGTTGCATAATCAATTGTCACGATGTTAAAGAGAGATTGTTGACTTAACCGTGCATTGGGAAGGCTAACTCAGCATTGATTATTTACATATTGATAATGGTCTGTTTTTAGATATCTGTTCATTTATAAGCACTGTAACATTTACCAAATTATGTGTCCATGCTATGTGTATTATGTTTAATATGTGCAAGATTTAGGTGAAGACAAATAACTTGTGCAGTTCTGACGACTGTGTCTTTTCATGGGCATTTTCTTTCAGGTTTATTGTTTCCAAAAAATACCAAAACGTATTTAGTTGATACATTCATACATAAGTAAACAACACATGGTTTCCATATTCTATAAATTCAGTCAGTATATATACCCTACTGTATTTTCTCTATTAGAAGCACATCTCAGGTAGAAGTGCATAGAAACTAAAAATTGCATTGGCTGTATATTGATTCCATATAAAAATCTCCATACTGTAAAATACTTTATTTTAGCTGAAATTATTTTCACTGAAAATACATTTTGGCTGTTTTGTATGACATTTACTAAATTATGATGAGTTGAATGTAAAAAATAGGGGGGGGGGCTATTTTCACTACAAATAGTGAAAATAAAGTACTTTACATTATTTTGCACATGAGCTTCAAAAATGCAAATATGGTGTAAATGTATATATGTGTGTGTGTGTGTGTGAACATGTATACTTACCGGAGTCATCTTTCTTCATTTCAGCACACTGGTGCTGGTTCAGAAGGAACCGGTCAAGCCTTGGCTTCGCCTGGTTCCTGCCTTGAAGACTTTAGATCTTCTCCATTCATAGAATGCCATGGTGATGGCAAATGTAATTATTATGCAACAACGTATAGTTTCTGGTTAGCAACAATAGATAGAGACAGACAATTCCAAAGACCTGTATCAGATACACTAAAGGCTGGCAGACTGAGGGACAGGATCAGTAGATGTCGTGTCTGTATGAGAATACTTGAATAACAAACAATTTTACAAAAATTTTACTGAAATAATCTATTTAACTAATCATGATATACAGTAAAATCTATGGTTTTTATAGTTTACTCTATTTTTTCTTTTTTTTAGATATTTTATCACTTATAAAAAAAAAAACTTAAAAAAAAAAAACTTTTTATAATGATTGATTAAGTTTTGTAAAAATCAAGCTTAAAATGTAATCTTAGTGCAATTGTAGTTGATGTAGGTCATCTCTTGTCTTCATTACATAGTTCTGTTTTGCAAATTACATTTTCTGGTGACTTTTATAGAAGTTATCAGTAGTGTAATTGAAAGAATTGTATGAAAATACAGCAATCTCCGGTCAGTAGTTGTCAGGACTACAGTACGAATAGTTATACCATAAGTACTCTTTGTGTAACATGGTTATTATCTAGTTATTAATTAATACTATGTAGTTATCATAAGTTATTAGTGGTAATCCTGCCATCATTTTATAGGAGCTCTTAATATGGTCAACAACAATAACGATTTGTTTTTGGTCAGTGCACTTACGATGTTCACTTACTGCACCATTGAAACATCTCCAGACCAGAAACAAATCATATTTTTTGGGAACCATACAAATCAAGTTATCTGGGTGCTTAATTTATTCTATGAGCTCAAAGATATGGTCTTTTTAAGTCATTTATTTACCAACCTATGTAAATCTATTTTCTTTCATTTTTAAAACAATTCCCGTTTTAAATATTCAACTACATGTAGTATATTTACTTTTTTTTACATTTTGTCATGTTAAAAATTAACCTACCTTTTATTCCAAATCATTTTTGTACCTCGTATCAGTTTTTTTAATGACATATATATTTTCTGTTCTGTGCTGCATTTATAATAATCAAATTACGTTGACAGATTTGTTCTCATAGCATTTGACAGTAATTGTGTCATATTTTGTAATAGTTTGTATTATGGTGTTCCGTGAAGGTAAGTTGCATTAGGGAACAGTACATGGTTGTGCTCATGTCTATTCCTAAAGCTATTCAAGATGTAATTCAAACTGTAAATAATGTGCTGTACACATGTCACTGTCTAATTGTTTCATGTGATAGCTGGAATACCACATCACTATTTTCAATGTTTTGATGTTTAAATAAGCTTTGTTGTACAAAGTTTTGTGTGCTGTTTTCCATCAATCCATTGGCATATATTTTTTGAAGATGCATCATGCCACAGGAATCATGAACAGCCTATCATTTGTTCATCTCGAGAAATTACTGAGAGAATAGTTGCAAAGTGTACAAAATCTCTGTCAAGTGTTATGCTTTAAAAGGAACTGATCAAAAAAAAATAATATTCAATATTTTTATCCTAACTGAAATAGAGGTTATTGGATATACACGTTCCACCTACCTCACGTTTATGTTTACTAGAGTGAGCTTTCCTACTTCATATTGGTGCTATTCTGTTCTTTGATTGGACAGTGAACTATGTGGTGCTATTTGTGGTGTTTTCTTTCACATTTGTCACTGTTCCATCTATAAATTCATTTAATTTCATACATTACCGACAAGTTCAAATCCATCTGTGAATTTTTATCTTGTATAATGCAGACTTGAAAATAAACGACAACTTTTATATTATTTTTTTTTTTATAACTGATCATTTTAATATTAATTTGAACATGTTAATGTTTATATTCGGTAACATTGCATCACAACTTTTTAAAATTTGAATATGTATTTACCAGACTCTGCTAACATGGTAGAGTATAGAAAATGATGAAATTTCATTTGTGGTAATGTTGAACTTGTGGAAAAAATATTTGAGATGCTTTTTAGCTCACAAAGAAAAGGATTACAGGAGATTCTGTCATTTAAAAACAATTTTTTATTAAGCCCCTTTAACAGTGCCTTGTGTCCCCTTTTTAACAAACCATTGAACAATAAAGGTGAACATTTTTAGACCACTATTGTGTGATTGTCTCTGACATACAGCGGAAATTGTGTAAGCTTTAAAGATTTTACATGAACAGTGTGCAACGTACATTCTGTTTTCTGTAGCTTCGCTGTCGAGTGAAACTTATCGTATGAGTGATTGTCCATCATAGTCCGCCTCAACTTTTTAGCTCTGCTGTCGAGTGGAGCTTAAAAAATGGGTTATTGTCTTGGTCCGTGTCGAATTTTTACTTTTTAAACTTCTTTTTGAAATCTACAAGTCTGATTGCTTTAATACTTTGTATATATGTATCTTGGGTAGACCTCTCTGAGATTACGTGATGATATCTTCAATTCTCTAATTTTAATGAATATGTTTGGTAAAAAGGAATTTTATTGATTTCTTGTTAAAACCTGCCAGTATGATTGATTTGGTATTATAGATATAGGTACTACAGTTGGACCTCTCTCATTTTGTGATGTCTGTATTTGAAATGTACATTATCAACTTGTTTTATAGAAGACACTCTACAAAGACAGCAGAGATTTTTAGTCCCTGTTCAGGCGAAGCCTGAAAAGGGAGTACTTGATTTACTTTGTCTTTGTCATTTTGAAGTTGCTGCAAGTTATCTCTCACATTTTCTCTGGGACTCTGCAGCAGATGTCAATGAATCTTGGCAGGTTGATGAACAAGTATGTGTTACATAGGCACGTCATTTTTTTTTTCAAAATCTGAAAATCCTAAGTGGGAATTTTTCAAGATTTTCATCCAAAATTACCTCTCTCTACGACACTGACAGAGCAACTAAGCATGCTCAGAATAATTGATTCTGTTAAATTCAGATTCAAGAATTCCTGATTTCAGATTCAGAAGTTTTACCAATGTATTCAATCAGTAGTGTACACTTTTCAGAACTCAGAACCAATTTCTCAGAACCCAATTTCAAAATAGCTTTCTTATCATCGGAAGTCATCTTTTAGGTTATTATCCTACCCAAAAAAATGCAAATTAGCTAAATCCAGTTATTTCTTTTGATCTCAGCAACCATTGAGCTGATTTAATTCATATTTGGTATGATAACACCTTGGCATGAGTAGATCACAGGGACTGGATGTGCTTTTGGCAATAATGACCAGACCCTCCCAAAAATATGCAAATTAGATCAATGCAGTTATTTGCTGCTATTTCTACCACCACTGTGTCGATTTTATTCATATTTGGTATAATAACAGCTTGGCACATGTAGATGTGCTTTTGGCAATAATGACCACACCCTCCCAAAAAATATGCAAATTAGATCAATGCAGATATTTGCTGCTATCCCTACCACCACCATGTCGATTTTATTCATATTTGGTATGATAACACCTTGGCATGAGTAGATCACAGGGACTGGATGTGCTTTTGGCAATAATGACCAGACCCTCCCCAAAATATGCAAATTAGATCAATGCAGTTATTTGCTGCTATTTCTACCACCACTGTGTCGATTTTATTCATATTTGGTATAATAACAGCTTGGCACATGTAGATGTGCTTTTGGCAATAATGACCACACCCTCCCAAAAAATATGCAAATTAGATCAATGCAGATATTTGCTGCTATCCCTACCACCACCGTGTCGATTTTATTCATATTTGGTATGATTACACCTTGGCACGAGTAGATGTGCTTTTGGCAATGATGACTACACCGTCCTAAAAATATGCAAATTAGATCAATGTAGTTATTTGCTCTTATCCCAGCAACCATTGGGCCAATTTAGTTCATATTTGGTAGGATTAAATATTCAGTAATGACCACGCTCTCCAAAAAATATGCATATTAGATCAATGCAGTTATTTGCTGCTATCTCTACCACCACCATGTCGATTTTATTCATATTTGGTATGATAACACCTTGGCACGAGTAGATGTGCTTTTTGCAATAATGACCACACCCTCCCACCCTGATTTTGAAACAAACCCAGGTCCTGGTAATATACCAAGACCTGAATTAACAAATGTCATGTACATCAAGGTTCTTGAGCACGTATACATGTATGACAAATAGTTTTGTTGCACTTGTGTACTCTGAGATTCTGAACATGGGTCAGTGGAAGTTTTTAGTTGTCAGTACAAAACTAGATTATGGGAAATCACTTTATGATGAGTTGTACCCACATAGAGTACATATTCATTCACCTGTTTGCAGATGTTCCTTGTACTACTTTATAATCAAATAATGGGGACTGTGACATTCATGTCTTGTTAAATTGTCAGGTCACATTGAATAATCAACTACATTGTCTTTCACTTCTTTGAGTTAATGTATTATGTCTAAACACTAGCCAGTCTTTGTCACAGGCTATGATTAGGGCACTTATTGCAGCTGTCAAATGCATCTTTTACAACAAAGTCATCTGATAAATAGGTCAAACCAACAGTAGATTGGTAAATCTCACCCCTAGAGACGAGCAAAGGACCTAGATTGAAAACACTTTATGGAGCGGCACTATGGGAGTTATAATTCATACCATGATGCAGAAAAACTAAGAGCAGAAAATCATGAGAACATACAAGGCTCTTGAAGTGATTGTGTTTAACAAATCTATGTAGCCACAAATTAATTAAATACCATGAAGAAAAGGAACTGGGCTCAGTCAAATGAGTTACTGCTCAGGTTAATTAATTTCACTTTTAGAAATAGCATATCAGTGAGAGTCCTGCTATTTTATTATGATTATATGATTATATATGATTATATGATTATATATTATAAATGATTATATCTTGCCTCAACCTCTAGTCAGTGTTTATGGATTCAAAAGTACCATTATTTTCCAAGTGGGAGTGCTTAACTGTAAGCAGCATTACTCTACTATTGGCAACATTTTATTTTATTTGTCAGGCAAGACCCAGTATGCCATTAACAATCTTTGACAGTAAATCCATCATTGATGTACCTACTCATAGATCTTTGAATGTGATTCTACAAGAGCCATAGTGACAGACGACCTATTCGCCAATGTACAAATTCACCATGAGAGTCACCAATACTTACCCTTCATGATACAAAGTACCAGTGTTTGGTCTTTGAGTATTCACAAAGTTATTGTAAGTTTTATATAGAATCACCATGGCTACACAGTCAATACACAAAATCAACAGCAAATGGTGCTATTTATTCACAAAACAATCTTGCACCGTCATGGATTTCATAGCAAACTGATAAAAGTAGTTTCCAATGCATTTGCAGAAATTGGTGTTTCTAGGTTCAACGCGCTGGGTCCAGAAATTCGGTAAGGGGGTGTGTGCTCCTATTGACGTGGTCGAAGGCACCTCTGGTACGCTGTGTTTGTCAATTTATTTGTCAATTATTTTTGTTTGGGGCTGGGGGCGCTACAGGGTCTAGTAAGGCCCTCGCTAACATGGTGCACTAAGGTCAGACACCTAGATAGTGTGCTCCATAGCCAAGTAGAGGACTTTGTTAGCGTTTTGTTCCCCAAGTGACCCTCTGAATATACTCGATTTAGGCGTTAGTATTATGGGCATAGTGGAAATAGTCACTGCATTGTTTAAGGATCAAAGATCAATTATTCAATCCCTAATATCAGTAATCCAGGTAATATGAAGCGTTGAGATGTCACAAAACTTACAGGAGGTTCAAAACATTGTTCAGGTGCCGCAAGAAAAGAAAAAAAAGCTTATAAGTTTGAAAAATGATTGGCAAGTGGACTGGGAACAGCCTCATCCTGCGGGGAAGCCACTAAAAAAAACTTCAAATTTTACCGATGTGTGACATATCCGCTGATCCCAATGCATATGCAAGAGATTCAATGTTGATATCATTGATTGAAGTGATTGGTGTTGGGGATCTACTATTTTTTTTTTCATGCAAAAAAACTTTACACCCATCTGGGAGGTGTTGCATGACACATTTGGTTGAAATAATTGTCTCATTTGCATTTATGAGCAATTTGAATGAAAAACTCGTATTTTCAGTAAAATTATGCCAAAATGATTTCCGATAGCATAGTAGTTCTGAATTGACTGATTCTATCATTACGAGTTGAAAATTAATTGAAAAACATAAACGAAATACACTGGAAATAGCAGTCTTCTCGTTCTTATAAGAGCCTTGGATGCAGGTTCGCATAATTATTATGTCAACAAGATACGATGATGGGAATGTTAGTTTTCACAGTCATCTTGTTGCGATTCGCGAAAAAATTGCGGAAGTGTCTTTGGACGGACGGCTTATGCTAACACAGTGAAAAAGGTTGAACG